AACTACATCCTCCACATTGAGCTTCGTTGTCATGATGGTGCATTCCACAATTAATAAACACACTCTCACAATTCCAAAGTTATTTTAGGATGTTTAAAAATGTCATAACACTGTTTTCAAAAGTTTAACAAATATAAAACGTAAAATACATTTTAACATTGGGCATGATGAAAATAATTGTTAGCACCCTTGCAAGCATGTGTAAACTACTGTCTTATATCTACAGTCATGTGACAAATGAATAAAGTGTTGAATACCTTTGCTTCTATATATTATAGTGCTAAAAGTTGGATGTTATGATAGGAATTTAAATAACAGAAGGGAAAATAATGCCGTAATGGACAACTTGCTAAGGGGTTTCATGTGAAACCCACAAATTGATCACTTTGAAATAGAGAATTAACATGTACATGGCAATTTTTTTTTTTTTTTGTCTTTTTCGTTTTTATCGGTACCAGGGATCGAACTCACGACTGCCTGCTTGCAAGGCAGGCACTTATGCCGCTGAGCTAAATCCCCAGCCCCTGTACATGGCAATTTTTTAAACTGGGAATCAAACTCACAATCTCACATTGCCAGGCAGGCACTGTGTTGTTGAGCTACATCACTGGCCTTGTAAAAGAATTTTTTCTCTGAGTGCAGAGACAGAAGCACAATTGGTCATGTAATTATTATAATTCATTGTTTAGTTACTGGACATTGCTGAAAAGGACATGCTAAATGACACACCATGTGTTTTTATAGCTGTCTCATATGTGGTTTTCACATTTTTGAAATTATGTCAATGTGAATTCCATGTGATATAATGCTCATAATTTCAATCTACTTGTTTAAATGTGACACATATTTAGATGGCATATATCTGTATTTCAATCCAGAGATGTTGTCTGTGGTACATTATCTTATAAATTCTATTAAATTTTTATTGGAACTTTAGCTTTTCACCATATACACTGTTATTTGAAAGTGAATTCATTTGTATTCCTTTCAACTCATTCTCTGCTAAATTTTATTTTGTTTCTGGTGTCTTTCTGTGTCCACTGAATGTAGAATGTTTTTCCTTTGGATAGTAATGTATTTAGTCACATTAATTATTGAATAATGCCTCTAATACTTTTAAGAGTTTCTTCTCTCTTGTTCTTAAAAATATGCGCAAATATAGAACAATGAAATATCCGGGTTTCTTTAGAGTGATTTAACATTTTTGTATTACAGCAGCTTTCTCTAGTTCTTGCTGGGAACTCAGCTCCTGGTGGTTCAGGAATGGGCCACTTAGTGCTCTGCTGGCCCTAATCTCAGACTTCCCAAAGTCTGCGATGCAGAGTGATGCTGTGAACTCAGGTCTCAGCCTCACTGATGAGCTTCCCTCTTCCCTGTGTTCTCTAATGTTCTGAAATTGAAATCTTTGTTCTTTTCCAGTACCTACATTAATTGTTCTTTTCCAGTACCTACATTAATTGTTTTTAATATATTTTGAGTCAACAATTTTGAATAATTGAAATAATTCAAAATGCACACTGCTTGTCATCAAAAATTCTTAATTATCTAAGCTAAATTTAAAATTTATGATTTGATCACCCATTCTCAGAGTATTCTTAAATTTCTCCTGCTCTTCATTTCTAATTTCATTCCACTATTGTGTAAGAGCCTTCTTTGCATGACTTCCACTCCACTGACTACTGTACATTCTGTATTGCGCGCTGAACCTGGGCCACAGGTGTGAATACTTTTTGGCTTGTTGTGAGGACAGTGTGCTATGTATTTCTGTGATAAAACATTTGATAGAATCCATCTGATACATTGCTTTGAATTGTTATCTTGTTGATTTTATGTGTAAATTTAAAGATAGCTCTGCCTTCTTGAGCTGTCAGTCACTGATGGAGTTGTGAATTCTTAAATATATACTTGTAAATGACTGATTTTTCTCTTCCTATCCTGTCTCTGTTTATGTAGTTGGTTGCTCTCCATAATGGGTTATGTATTAAGCAATGAGATTTGTGTTTAAAAAGCTGCTGATTATACATGTGGAATACAGTCAAGCTAATGTAGCTTCTATAGATTTTGTTAAATCAGTGCCACCCAGGTATGACTTTCTGCATAGCTTTCCCTTTAATCTATCCTCATCAGTGTCCACATAATTGCCACTGCTCTCTAGGTGGTGAGAATATTTGCCCATTGTCTAGGTTTCTAGTTTCTAGTTTTAATGCACTCTCACAGCTGTTGTCTCAGTCTCTTTTAGTCTGAACTGTTCTCCTGCTAATGTCCCCTGCTTTCCTGATAGGCTAAGCTCTTCTCCTTTTAGTGAACATAGCATTGCATGACTGTCAGCTGTGGATTTGTTGCACTGAGGTTTGTAACTGTAGTTACAAACCTAATATGGATAGTGTCTCATCATTTCATGTCTGAAGACAGATAAACAGATATTAAGCTATAAGTACCTGTATGGAAATTTATTGTTTTAATCATTTAAAGAAAATATTATTCTCAAAAATTTTTCTTTAGATTTAATGGTAACATTGAAACTGTCCCACATGTATTCAGCAAGTTTCACCATTGGGTCTTAGGCAAGGAATGAATGTAACCAGGTAATAAAATCCCTTCAGCTCAGATGGTATTATTGCATGATTGATGACAACTCTCCTTTCAAAATTTTCCAAAGTTTACTATGTGTACTTTTTTACAGAGACTATTCTTTTAGCTTATTCCCTTTAAGATTTCAGGAACTACGTTAGACATTGCACAGAGAAATATTTTGTGAGGTTTTGTAGTGTTTCTCAATTTACTCATTTCTCATGTTGTTCATAAAGGCTGTGATGTGAATCAAGGCCAAGGTACTTTCTCAGTTAGTCTCTTGGTTACAGTTTCTGACTCTTTAATTTCACTTAATTTCACTTGAAAAGAATCACATGTATTCCCAGGAATTGTAACACAAGTATTTTCTAGACATTAGAAAGAAGTCACTTGTCTGTGGATTTTTATTAACTCCATAGGAAAGGAGTTTGTGGAATGTAGGAGCTGAGTGTTGATTTAATAAATCTAATTATTTTGTTATTCCACAATTCAATATTTTTCTACAAATGCGATGTAGATTTTCTTTTCTATTCACTGCTTCTCCTGAGTCAAATAAGTTTTTGCTTATTTTTAGGTTTCTGCTCACTGACCTTAACTCTTTATGTAAAGTCTGTATGTTATGTTCCATATACATGTTTTTTGTTTAAGTCCAATCTTTATAGGTTTCAATTTCTTCTAATTTACCTGGTTGATTGATTGTCTTCTGACAAGAGTTTTTCATTAACTAGTTGTTTTTTAATAGAAATTGCACATTCGTGCATGTTTCTCTTGCCAGTATCAATAGATCATCAATGCACACAGGTGAGGAGATTGTACAGGGCAGATTTCTAAGGACATACCTGTTTCTCTCTGAATGTAAATGAAACAGATTGTGCTTTCTTCCCAAGATTCAAGCTGAATTGTGAAACAGTGTTCTACTTTAATGTGGGTGCATAGAAGACTGTCTTCCTTTCCTGAAATACATGTGTCCACTAATACGAATATTGAACCTCAAGTGTTTTTCATATTTATTATGCAAAATGTTTCCTTCCTCACAAGTATTGAATGTTTGTAGTTTTTTTCTAACTTTCTTCTATAATTGTTGAACAAATCAGAGGTGTGTTTAGCTTGTTTACTTTTGGTATTAAAAATTAAACTCAGGTTCTTGCACATATCACCTAGTGCTTGTACCACCAAGATAATATCCCTGGTACAAAGGTGTGACTTGTAAATGACTGAATTAATGTTAATTTTTATTTGGCGATGGAATTTGATGACTGGCCTCACTTTGTAGTCTGAACTGTCCTTATTACCTAGCCCAGACTGGACACTACACAAGGCATTGCTGAAATTCCTGGTAATCCTCTTACACCCGCCTCTCAATTTCAGGGAGAACAGGCCTGTGCTACCCCAGTGGGCTGAACTCTTCCTTCTGTATTTAGTGACCAGTTACTTTGCTATACCTCCATTTTCATTGCATTTCCAAAATATTCTTTTCCACATTGTCTTCCTTTACACCCAAGTAGAATTTCTAGTATTCAAGTACAAGGAGATAATTTGGTGTTCCTGGGCTACAGGTTTCCTAGTAACTTTCCCTAATTTCCTTGTCTAAAGAATGGTCAAATAAACCTTTGTTTTCAATAAATTTTAGTACTTCATAAACCTCCTTTCATATTCAACTAAACATTTATCAATGAAACCAGTTTCAAGACTACAAATGCTATCTAGAAAGAAAGATGAACTTAGTGTTATGAATAACCAGGTGTTTTGTGAGTGGTGGTTTGCAGACTCCCTCTCTGAGCTCTGCTTTAAAGTCAGTGAAAAACTACAGTGTGATAGGATTATTTCCAGAAGATGAAAAATATTCCCAAAAGATGAGGAGTAGAAATCAAAAGAGGCCTTTATTCTGGGAACACAGAGAGAGAGGACTGGCACGCTGGCCGCAGAAATCTGGCAAATCTGGCAAATCTCTCTCATGGGGACACGTGGTGTGGGGGAATATAAGTAGCCTAAGCTTAGGGCAGTGCCCTAAGGCCATTAGGGATGCACAGGTATTTCATTGGCACACGTTTGGTGCCAGGGGCAGATTCCGAAGGGTGGGGGGGGGGGGATAGGGTTACAGGTAAATCTCTAGGGGCGGGGGAGACAGGAGCTCCCTAATTCCAGCTGAGGCTTTTTCTGGTTACAGTGTCTGGTCTGTCAACAACCCTTTCACAGTGTAGGTAGCCCTGCAGGACAAGCCATGCTACAGTTCTGTGATTGCTATGGCAATGTGTTATAGTTCAGCATCAGTGTTACTGAGTGACTATAATTGATTGTACTTGAATTTTGATGACCATGACATGCAATCAGTACTGCAAAGAATGAACTTCAGTTAGATTGTTTATGACAGAAGCTGAGATATATCAGGTTGCATGTACCTGAACCTCAGGACACTTGTCATTATTTAGGAGACAGTGACCTTTGAGGATGTAGCTGTGAACTTCACTGCAGAAGAGTGGGATTTGCTGACTCCATTCCAAAAGAAGCTCTACAAAGGAGTGATGTGGGAAAATTATATGAATATTATGGTGACAGGTAAGGTTGGTACATTTTATTTATTTATAAAAACTATTAATTATTGCTCAGTAATATAGTTAAATATATTTGATAATTACAACATTTGCTTATATATCTCAGAACTGATTGTATTATACCATGAGTATAACTGGAACTAGTGATGTTTTAATTTAATGTTATAGTGAATTTTTTATTTCTGTATCTGTGATACAGGAAGAATATGGCATAATCAGCAAATTGAAGAAGAGGACAAAACTTTTTCAAGAAGAAATCTAAGGTGATTGGCACACATAAGATAAAGGGAACCTTTCTTAAGTGTCAGTGTGGGAGCATAACTATTACAAAAAGGAACTTGAAGCCATGAGATCATGTTTCACTTTATTTAAACTCCAAAAATACCAAAAGAGACAGTTGATTTTATTTTATATTATCTGGGAATCCATAGAAAAGTATTTGAAAGTAAGAATCAGGGGTAGTGCTTATACTGTGTAACAAAAAACACTATCTAATACATCAGTTTAAAAATTGCCTTCATGATCTACATCATGGAAATGTTTGAGAGTAAATTTAAATATTGTTTTCTGATGTGTAGGAAATGTACAAATTGTGAGTTTTGATAGAAACTCATCAAAATATCCATATATAAATATATATATATATATATATATATATGAATACTGAGACTTTGATGATCTACAAATATTTCACATAGAATCAGTATTCAAAATGCAAATGAATGTTTATGTTATAATAAACATTTCAGAATATACTATAGAATGTTGAGCTGTTTGTGTTTAAAATTCCTCATGTATTGTTGGTGGATACATAAAACAGAAACATGGTAATGAATATTGAGAGGTTTAAAAAGTAAAATAATACGTTTCATATTGTTCCACATGTGCATTCTTTGGTATATACTTACATTGTTTTTTTTTAACTTTAAGCCATGATTTTATACTGTAGGTCAGGTTGACTTTGAACTTACTGTGCAGCCCATACTAGCCTGAAACTCAGAGTGATCCTCCTGATTCTACCTCCTGACTATTGAGTGAATTACACTGTGTCATTATGTGCATTGATTCTCTCATGATATTGTCAAGTACATTAAAATCATCAAATGTTAGTGATCCACACAGTGTATTGTTCAGTGCTGCATATGAAAGGACATTCACAATATCTAATACAAGAATCAACTCACAGTAGATCAGCTCTGAGAAGAACCCAGATGCCCATCACTGGATGCCTGGGTAAAGAGCATGTGGAGTCAGCTCATCATGGTGGTGCATCCTTGCAATCCCAGTATTGTAGAGGTGGAATCAGCAGGATGACAACTGAAAGTTCAGCCTGGGCAAGTTCATTGTCAATAAGACTCTCAAAAAAACAAACAGTAGATTAGCAAATGTAATTCTGTGTAAGATCTGCTTTTAACTCTACACAGAGAAAAATACACTATACAAGGAACCATGATATCATTTCCCAAGAAACAAAAAGAGATGGACCTTAAGTGAAATAAATCAGAAACAAAAATGCAAATATCACAGAAGTTTTCTGTTAAATGGGAAATTAAAAGCGTATTTGAGGAGTAAAAGTAAAGAGACATAATACGTGGTCAGAAAGTCTTACTTTTTGTAGATGAGAAAGATGATCAGACTAAATAGGGGGAGAATGAAGGCCTGAAAAGGTAAAATAAGGATCAATATTTGATAATCATTTGTAACAGTCTCCTAAAACAATATAATATATTGGAGTCATATATCAATCTAAAATTACCAAAAGAAAATCATCCTTTTTCGACTGAATAGAACTTTGAAAGAAATCCTACAGGACAGTGAGTCAGTTAATAATCAGAATTACTTATCAGGCATCAAACCAAACTTGTCATTGTAAATCTCAATTATTAATGTGCAGCATTTTCCATTGTGATTGATATTTTTATTTGTATTTGTTTACAGATATGATGAAGACAATTACTTGACAATTGGACAACAGCAATATAAATATAATGAAGATATAGTAACCTGCAATGTTTTCCCGTCCTTTCAGAAGCATGAAATACAGAAGACTGGAGAAAGACCCGATCAAAGTGGTCAGTGTGGGGAGGACAGCTCTGACCTTAGTGAACAAACTCACCCTGGTCAGAAAACCTTTCTAAGTAAGAAAAGTTTGAAAGTCTGTGCAGCACCTAACAGCGTTCAGATGCATGAAAGAAATCACAGTTCAGGGAACTCATATGTACAAAACCACTATGAAAATAGTTTTATTTCTTCATACCATATTGAAAAAGATGTTAGAAAATATGATGGAGAGAAACACTATGTCACTGAGAAATGTGCAAAAGCAGTATCTCACAGTAATTGCTTTAAAAACCATAAAAAACTTTATGCTGGAAAGCAGACATATGAATGCAATCAGTGTGGGAAAGCATTCAGTACAAGCGGTAACTGTCAAAGACATAAAAGAATTCACACTGGGGAGAAACCCTATGTATGCAACAAATGTGGAAAAAGATTTATGAGAGCCTCATATTGTAAGATACACTATAGAATTCACACTGGGGAGAAACCCTACGTATGCAAACAATGTGGAAAAAGATTCAGGAGAGCCTCAGATTGTTACATACATGAAAGAATTCACACTGGGGAGAAACCCTATGTATGTAACAAATGTGGAAAAAAGTTCAGAACAGCCTCAGGTTGTAACACACATGTTAAAATTCACACTGGGGAAAAACCCTACGTATGCAACATATGTGGAAAAAGATTCAGGAGAGCCTCAGATTGTAACATACATTATAGAATTCACACTGGGGAGAAACCCTATGTATGCAAACAATGTGGAAAATCTTTCAGTAAAAGTGGTAACCTAATTACACATGGAAGAATTCACAGAGAGGAGAAACCTTTTGTGTGCAATAAATGTGGGAAAGCATTCAAGAGTGCCTCAGAACGTAAAATACATGATAGAATTCACACTGGGGAGAAACCCTATTTATGCAAACAATGTGGAAAATCTTTCAGTCAAAGCGGTTACCTCATTATACATGAAAGATTTCACAGAGGGGAGAAACCTTTTGTCTGCCACAAATGTGGGAAAGCATTTGTGAGTGCCTCAGAATGTAAAATACATGATAGAATTCACACTGGAGAGAAACCATTTGTATGTAAGCAATGTGGGAAATCTTTCAATCTAAATAGTGCCCTTATTAGACATGAAAGAATTCACACTAGGGAGAAACCTTTTGTTTGTAAGCAATGTGGGAAATCTTTCAGTCAAAAGGGTCACCTTATTGTACATGAAAGAATTCACACAGGGGAGAAACCTTTTGTTTGTAAGCAGTGTGGAAAATCTTTCAGTCAAAAGGGTAACCTTATTGTACATGAAAGAATTCACACTTGGTAGAACCTCTATGAATACAATGTGACACAGCACTCAGTATGGAAAAGTACTGAAAATTAACCCTGTCTATCATTGTAAGCAATTTGGGATGTTTTTCAGCTGTTGTAGTAGCTTTTGTGTATATAAAAGAATTCATTCTGCAGAAAGACCCTACCTATGTGAGAAATGATTAAATGGATTTGTTGATAAATTCTCACTTTATAAACATAAAAGTTCCCACATTGGGAAGAAAATCTATGAACATAAGGAATGCAGGAAAAATTCCCACAAACAGAAATTGTCACTACATGAAAGGTCTCCCTCTGTGTAGAAATTCTTTGCATTTGAACAATAGTGCATTGCAGTCAGTGCACAAAAATGCCATTGAATAGGGGAATAATGCACAGAAGGAAGAAACCCTATGTATGTAGGCAGTATGGAAAAGATTTGCTGCAACATTTCCCTTTTGCAAACAAAATTTCCCTCACATTGGGGTGTAACTGCATGTGAGAAGTGTTTGGTAAATGTTCAACAGATAGAGCTGCTAACCTGAGTGATGTCATATTGTTTTTCAAGCCTATGTTTACATTGTGGGAAAGCATTCAATATTCACATTTATTGTCAAATGTGCAAAAATAATCATAGTTAAGTGAAATCATATATAAGTGACTTTGAAAATTACTCATGCAGAGTAGACATGGAAAAATAATATAAAATTATTGCTTTCAATATGTGTTCATAGATTTTTTGAAGACACTCTCAAACACAGAGATGTCCTAAAATGTTTTCATGTCTTTTTTTATAAATCTTATATAAGTGATCTATTTGTCTGTAGTTTTAATAAAAATTAGTTTTTAAAGAAAATTTAAGTATGCTGAATCTTTTTTCTCATGTTTTTATTCCACCAATGTCTTATCTTGATGGATGACACCCACTTACCTCATGACACTTTTTCCCACCAGAATCTGTAAAACCTGCATCAGTTTATTAAGAAGGATCTACACATACACAATCAGAAATGTGGTGTACTCATGGTCTGTATCTATGTAGCCATGCTTATGGCAAGATATACCATCACAAAAGTAAAAGCAGACTCAGTCACTGTCAGAAACAAGAATGAACTAAAATTAGGGAGAAATCTTATTTATATAATGTGGAAAAATGTCCAGTACACAAACAGGTTCTAAAATGCATGACAGAACACACAGTAGGGAGAAACCCTATGTAGGTAAACAGCTTTCAGTCAGTGTTTTAATTGTGTCCGTAAAATAATTCACACTTGGGAGAAATCTTACGTAAGGCATATTAAAAAGCCTCTCCTGATAATCCACATTTTCTAGACAAAGAAGATCCCACATAGGCAGAAATCTTACGTATGTAAGCAATGTGGAAATTACCAGGCAAACCGATAGCTTGCAAATACATAAAAAAATTCACAATAGCAGGAAACTACATAAGCAATTGGAAAACATTTGCTTCATATCTTCACTGACAAACATATGAAAGAACAGCAATGGGGAGCATCTATACGAATGTAAGCAATGCAGCAAATGTTTCCAACACAAGAGATTTTAATGATGTGAAAGAATTTACACAAGGAAGTAAACTTACGGAGTCAAAAATGAAGAAAAGCATTCAGTGCAAAATAGTGCCATCACATAAGGAAATAATGTACACAAGGGAGAAACCCCATGTATGCAGTCAATGTGAGAAGGATTTCTTGCAAATTGTTCATTTTATAAATAAATTTCCAACACACTGGGCAGTAACTGTGTGAAAAAGGTGTATTGAGAAAAAGTTTCCATTGACAAAGATGCTCACCTCCAAAATGATGTCACAGTGTGGCCAAAGCCTATGTTTGCCATGTTAGAAAGCACTCAGTGTAAGTGAGTATGGTCAAATATTTGTAAGACATCACTATGAAGAGAAATTGTACATATGTGACAATTTTAAAATACTTTGCAAATTGCTCATATAGTCCAGACCTGTAGAAATATATTTTAAAAATTGATGTCAATATGTATTCATAGATTATCCAGAAATCACACTTAAAGATGGAAATATCCCAAAGCATATTCATTTTGTGTTTCGCTGTCATACATATCTAGCTAGCTATTTTTCTGTAGTCTTACTGTTAAGAAAACACTTTTAAAAGATAATTCAAGGATTCCAAAAAAATTTCTCTGCATTTTTGACTCACTGACACTGTCTTCATAGATCACATCTATCATTCTAACGAACATTGTTTTTCACTTGGCTCTGTCTCAAATTATTTTTTCTACAAGGATCTACACAAACACATTCAGAAGTGTCCCTTACCAGCTTTTACTACATGCATCTATGTATGTATGCTTATGATAAGATATCATAAATTCAGTCAAATTTAAATATGTATAATCGCATTAAATGATTGTTTCTAGTACATAATGTAAGCATTCATCTTTAAGGCATCAGTGTGTATAATGGGTCTGAGTTCTTTATTGTTGCCTTAACATCCCTTATTTATGATTTTCCTGTAGTTCTTGCTCCTCTGCATTTTTGAAAGATGTATACTCCTACTGCCTATTACACATCATACAGTTTTATACAAATGTAAGCACCATGCCTCTTAAATTAAGTCAGTCATTTATAAATAGCAGAATCCTGAATATGCAAGTGAATCAGGATTTCTCCCAATTTCCTAGGGTTTAAAGAAAAATGCGTGGAATATGATTCCCACAATAGGAATAGTAAGTGATGGAAATGATGTCATATCATGACACCAGAAAGACAGAGTCACCAGTGTGCAATAAATAATATGATAATCACAAGTGCATGAACTAAAAGCAGGAGAATTGTGGCATTAATATTTTTTTTCTTTGAAATGGTCTTGTGAAGTTCAGGCTGGCCTTGGGCTCACTTTTAGTTCAGGCTAATCTTGGACTCACTTTGTGGTCCAGCCTGGTCTTGAACTCAAAGGAATGCTCTTGCCTTAGTATTTCAGTTTCTAGGATCACAAACATGCACCACCATGCCCAAGTTTTACCGTTAGATTTACCTAGCAAATTATTTCTTGCAGGGATGATAATGCACCACTTTTGCTCCTTGCCATCCAGCCTTTGGGGAATGGCACTGCTAAAGTCTTAGTCTTCCTTTAGGCCCATGCCGCACAGTAGCATTTTAGCAGCATCTTTTTTTATTAAAATAAAATTCAGAAATAAAAGTTGACAGTCTAAATCATGTTCCATTCTAAGTAGCATAAATAAATCTAATGTCATTTGGATTCAACATGGACCTCAGTTTCCTTCATCAGAGAGCTATCACATGATGTCACAACCTCACAAGAAGATGAGGTGCAAGGCAGGATGAGATATGAAGAGAAAGACAACACATTCACATGATGCTGATTACACCATAGTTATTATGCCCATTTCTATATTTAGTAGCACTGTAACTGTTCATTCATATACATTTTTCAATATATTCCAAAATCATAAATATATATACAATGTTATATGTGTAACTTTTATGTGTGTAATGTATTACTCTCCAATATTGGAAATATACAATGAGGCAGTTGGCATTTCTGCACACTCGATCCTGAGCTAGAATAACCCTGATGAATTACTACAATGTAGTTCCAACCTATATTCTCTTATTTTAATATTTCATCTTTTTTAAATAAAATGGTAAAGACATAGGCACAGTGGTGATTTCAGGAGATTTAGGCAGTCTGGGAATCTGAGGCATTGCAATTTAATCCTAGGCTTGGCAACTTGGAAATACAGTGAAAACAAGTCTTCAAATAAAAAATACAGCTGGGGAGGTAGCTCAGTATAAAGATCCTGGATTCCAATCTCAGTCCTGAAAAGTTAAAATGGGCCTTGTTTCCTGATAAGGCAGTAAAACCATTGGCCTCATCTCACACTCCCAGTAGTCTTGCTGTGTTCTCACCATCCCCCCTCTGAGTTTAGGAGTCATTTCCAGGCTACATAGTCCCAAATCACTGCTGTACAATTTCCATCCTACTTACTAGATTTATTTAGGAGTAAACTTGCAAAAAACGAAGTCAACCCCTGCTCTGGAAAGACAAGAGCAACCTCATTTTAAGAGTAGTAATGCCCTTGTGGAGCATTGCGGTAGTCCATATATAATCCAGGAATGGCACCTGTCAACTTGCTCATCAGTCCAGATTTTGGATCACTTTCCCTGTCCCACATGTGCAGACTCACTCTGAATTTTCTCCTCTAATACACTTCACCCAGGGTGACTCTCAAAATTTTTCCATCTTTTTACTAGATAGATAGATAGATAGATAGATAGGGGGGGGGCTTGGAATTCTCCAAATGTTTATCTTGCAGTTTGGTTTAATTAAAATGCATTCCTTTCTGTTCTTTTTTCTCTCTTGTTTTATTATAAGTACTAAATAACAAAGATGCACCTTCAGGACAGTATTGGCAAATATCATTAACTTCATGCACTTATTATTTATAAAATCTGCAGTGTTTTATTTTTGACCTCAATAACCTGAAGCTCTCTAACTCTAACAAGGATCTTTTTCAACTTTAGGTTCTGATAATATTTCTAAATTCCTTCTGTGTGGTTACTAGGGGTGCACTAAAAGCCATGTGAATGTATTATAACTTATGTTTAAGTAAACCAAAGATTTTCTCTTTTGCATCTCAAAATCTTGCTATCCTCTATAAAATCACCCAATGACTCTGCCATATCCACATGTTCAGATATTAGTTACAGTGGTGATGTTTGCAGACACCAATATCTGGAGAGATTCCTATGTCTGCTGCATCTGTAAGAAGATGAAACTTAAATATAGCACATTTGTACCACTAGAGTTCTAGAAATACAATCCTTGAAATAAGTTTCTCTAGTGAGACACTCAGTTCTCACTCCTCAGGTGTGACAGCATTTGCTGCCTCCCCAGGTTAAGGAAAAGCTTTCCTTTCTTTCTCTGGCTCCTGGTTCCTTCCTCCATCATTAAATCCTGCAGTGAGTCATCTTGTATCAGAAGTGATGTCACCTCCCCCTTTTCCTGTACTCTGTCCATCTTCTGCTTCTTGCTCAGGACCATTAGGATAACAGTGAAAGCACCCATAGAAATGAGGGTGCTCCATCTCCATAGTGCTTTCTTTAAATTAACCATTCAGGGGTGACTCCATTACCCCAGAAACTGCTATTCACAGTGCCCATGGAAAATAACTTAGATGAAATTTTGGTCCTTTACTCTCCATCACCCAGGAGGATCAGTGCCTCAGTTGCCACCGTGGGTTCTAGGGGTGGCTCCTCCATTCTGTAGAGTAGTGAATGGGTTGTTAAATCAGACTTCTTAAGATGGTCTAGCTTCTGGGTACTCATCTCTTCTCAATTTTGGATAACTTCAAATTGTTATTTTTTCAAACATGAACATGTTTTACCTCTCTTTAATAAAATAAATTTTCTCTAAAAAATTCATGCTGTCTTTGCAAATTAATGAGACAATTCTGGTCTTAAATTGAGTGTATAAAGAGCCAAATTGTAGGTAATATAATTTATTGTGGAGCCTGAAATGTAAATGGAGCAAACAACAAGAGGCATCAATTTCAGCTGAAGATCTCTGAGGAATCAACGCAAACACACAGAGCTAATGACAGTAAATGTCAGTGTCCAACTCTGTCTTTAGTTTTCCTAAGGCCTCTCTTTGATTCTAGAGAATTATAGTCATTCTGTATCACCATCATTGCCCTGTTATGCATGTTTTCTACTGTTGACAAGCAAAGTTCTTAACAATAGAGAGCAATGTAAACAGCAAGGATTTAACAGTTGAGTTATTGCAGAAATAGTGATTCACAAAGTCATGATATGGAGAATGATCACAATCTGTAAAGTAA